CATTGTTTACAACATTTTGCGACCAAACCATTAGAGAAATAGTTCTCAAATTTTTGTGTGTGTGTTGAAAGCTGTGTTTTCTGCAAGCCAAGTATAGGTTCAGTAACAATTCTGTTGTTTTTTTAAATGGGAGTTGGTCCATTCGGAACGCTGCAAAGCAGACTCGCTTTTGAAAAACGTTGGCAACTCTTAAAGAACTTTTTCCAGCCAGCTCTAGCCCCAAACCCTGGGTTTCACCCCCAGCTCTGGGCAGGGACTGAGGTCTCATAGTCCAGAAGGGGACAGGGATTCAGGACGCCTGGGTTCTACGCCCAGCTCTGGGCGGGGAGTGAGGTCTCATAGTCCAGAAGGGGACAGGGATTCAGGACGCCTGGGTTCTACGCCCAGCTCTGGGCGGGGAGTGACAGCCCCTCGGAGGCAGGCTGGGCTAATCCAGCAGCTTTTCCATCCCGCACCGCAAGGATGCTGGTGGCAGTGGCTTCGCTGTCTCAGCTCCTCCCCATCTCCCTGGGGGCCGGGTCTTTGAGCAGCTGCCTTCTTCCCCCCCCCCAGCCCTGAGGGCTCTCAGCAGGAGCAGCTCGCTGCCGCATCGAGCAGGAAACGGAGAGCGGTTTTAATTTCAATTTCCTGCTTTCTCATCGGGACTCCTGCACATTCACAGTCAGCCTCCTGCTACGCCGCCCTGCTCTGCCCAGCCTCTGCAGGCAGGAAGCGAGCTCAGGGCTGACCCTTGGGGATCTCCAAGCCAACCCATGCGCCTCCTCTGCCCCGCAAGCAGGCCAGTGGCAGACCGGGGCTTCCAGCTCTCCAGCCACCTCTGCATGTAAGTCGACTTTGTGGTTTGGGCTTTAAGGTGGGGCCTGCCCCTGCCGGCGTCTCCCCCTGGCCACCTGCAGTGGGGAGAGATCCTGGCAGCTCCTGGCACTGCAGGAGCCTCGTGGGTGCCTCTGGGTGGGTGGGGGGGGGGGGCGGTGTGGCTACCGGCCAAGTGATACTGAGAAGAGCTGGAGCAGGGTTCTCCGAAACCATTTGTACGATGGGGGAGGGGAGGGGCTGAGAGCCATTGAACTAAACTGTATATGATGGAAACCATGTCAAGCCGTGGGGGGGCGGCAGCCCCCCTCGTTCCAGCACCTCTGCAGCTCTGTGCTGAGCGCCTGCAGCCCCCCGGGGAGTCCTGGGCCTGATTCTGCCCTGCACCTTGCGGGGCCGTGCGAAAGGCTAGCGGGTCTGCCACGCAGCAGCGGTCAAGGCCAGCGGCGCTCCTAGCGCTGACTGTGCTTGGAGGAGCCAGGAGCGCGCCGTGCCCCCTGGGTCCGGATCTGGCCCCGCGTTGGTCGCTGGAGTGAAGTCGAAGTCCGGCACTTCCCCGGACGCGCCGCTGCGTGGCTAGAGCCTGGAGGAATGTGGCAAGGTGGCTCAGGGACTCCTCGCTGTCCCCCCGGGGACATGGCCTAGCAGCCCAGGCAGTGACCCATGGGGCTTTGGAGGCTGAGGCTGCCAGCCCAGGGCCTTTAAGGGGCCCTCGGCCCAGCTCCTCGCAGCAGGGAGGAGTGAGATGCGGGGAGGCCAAGAGCTCCCAAAGACACTGGGCTGGGACCAGGGGGAGCCTTTCCTGTCACCTCACTTGAACCCCCAGCTCGACCTGTTTCCCCTGCTCTGGAGAATGACTGGCTGGTTTGTCGGACTCCCTAGCACCCCGCCCGGCCGGGGCCAGGAGCCCCAGGGCATGTGTCAGGGCATGGACACACACTGCCGTCACCCCCTCGTGGGGATGGGCGGGTGGGGGAGGAATGTCAGGGCCGGGTTGATGACTCTTTCGGAAAGCGTAGTGCAGCTGTTCATCTGTCTGGACTCTGCCCACGGCCTGACACCCACATGATCTGGGGGAGCCCTTTGGCTCTGCCTGTCTTTGGAGGGTAACCCTGTGGGGTCCCGGCTTCCACAGGGCAGCGCTCCCTTCCCTGTGCCAGGAGCCAGCCTTGTTCTCCTGTGGGGCTTGGGGGAGAATAGCCTCAAGGTCCCCCCCACACTCTGTGCGCCCCCCTCCGTGAGGTGGATCCTCCCTCCCTCAGGGAACTAAACCTTCCCTTGGTGGAGCACAACCCACAGCATCACCCTTCACTTCTCCCCCTGCACGGGCCGTGACCCCCTCCCCACTCCTGTTCCATGCTGTGTGTGTGTGGGGGGGAGGGGTTCTTGCCAGTCTCCCCCCCCCACACTTGCCTCCCCCCTTCTGCCAGCTGAAGGGGCATTTGCCCCACTTCTCACGTGCTGCCTGTGCCTGCTCCCATAGGAAAAAAGGGATATTCTCCTTGTGGAGGGATGAGCCCCCGGCCTCCACTTCTCCTCAGGATTGAAGGGTCATTATCCCCTCTCCCACAAATGCACCCAGTGCTGAGGTGGGGGGGCTATTCCTTCCCTCCCTTCCCCCCTCCCCTTGGAGCTCCATTCCAGGGACCTGTTGGCTTTAATGAGCTGAGGGTGCAGGTGCGGGCTGGGGCTCAGGGCTCCTGTCTCTCTCCAGCCCAGGTGAGGAGTTGTGTTCGCCACTTTCGCTTTGCCCAGCCCCAGAGGCTGAGGGCTGGACTTTGCCCTGCTACCCTGATAACGCTGCCCCTTCCTGGCACGTAGCTGGGGTGGGGTCGCCAGGGGCCAGGCAGACTGTCCCCGGCATCACGCGCACCCGGTGATTCAGGGCCCTGACCCGCTGGGATTGCTGTGGGCCAGGTTAACGATTCCCCTGTTGCCATAAAGCGCGTCTCCACCTGCTACTGTTTCGCCAGCTAGAGCGAGCCCTGGGAGGGCGTGCCTGCCGTGGCGCCAACCGAGAAATGGGTCAGAGGGCCGAGCCCGCTCCTGCCTGGGTCTGACAGCGAGGGATGGAGGGACAGGTTCTGGGAAAGGGGGATACGGGACTGGCCTTTGCTGCACATCTCATTCCTCGGGGGGCGCGGGGGGGGGGGGGGGGAAGGGAAATAGGTGCGAGAAAGCACCGGTTTTGTGGCGATCAAGCTGCTGCAGCCGCCCGGAGCTGCTGAGAGTATGCAGGTATGAAATATTAATGTGGGCTGCAAGCCACAGGGTATCTCCAGCTCCCAGCAGCCTGGAGGCGGCTCATGAGGTAGACAGGCCCCCGCGTTTTTACATCCATGTGACGAGGAGTGTCTTGTGCTTAAAACGCCATTGGGAACAATCGACCGAGGGAGAAGTGCAGGTCTCCCTGCCACAGGCCCACATCACTTGTGTCCCCGCTGCTGAGTGGGGGTGGACGGGAGGCAGCTCTCATGTGGCCTATTGCTTTCTCTGGGGCTCTCCAGTCCTCCCAGGGCAGCTTGAGGTCCTGGTGGGTGCATGCGGTGGGGCAGGGGGCATATAGACTTTGTGAGTTGTTGCTGCTTGGGACTGGATTGGGAACGTGCCACGGCTGCTTTGACTCGAGGCTGCCTGTTTCATTAGCAGTAAGTGCTGTGGCAGGCAGGCAGGGCTGTAGGAAAGAGATCTATACTGAGCATGCAGAGAGGCCAGGGTTACCCGCAGAGAGGGACTGTGTTTGTCCAATAGCCACCAGCTTGCACGCCTGAGCTCCAGGTGTCACCCCAAACTAGATCCCTCCTGAAACTTCTGGCTTCCTTTCTCCAGTCCCATACACCCACATGAGCTCAGTCAAGTTCCCAGGGTGCCCACACACCCCCAGGCCACCAGCCCTGTTGCTGACAGTCTCAGCAGGGAGGCTTAGAATCAAATGGGTCATGGAAACTGAACTCCCCTGTCATCCCCTAGAAGTGCAATCGCTCCAGAGCTAGGTAAGAGGCCCCATTGATGGTGCAAGATGGTGCTTGCACTGTTCTGGGCGTATATTGGGAGATGCCATTAGAGACAAGCGTGAGCCTCCGAGCCTGGATTCAGATGGAAAGATCTGGGGTGTCCAGAGCCAGGTTTTTGGGTCAGCCCATCGAGACAGCTCCTGAATTAGGCTTTGGACATTCCCTGCCCCAAAGATCAGGGGGAGTTTGGACAAGGAGTTTGTTGGAGCCCGTCCCTCGCTCTATCAGTAGCTACTTCACAAGGATAACAGGCAGCTCTAGCCGCATCACAAGAGCTAACTTGTCTTGTCCTGATGCTGAATGGTGGCCAGTTGCACAGAGCAGGAAAGAAAACAGCTAGTTTCAGGCTGCCTGGATAGTGCCTATAGGAGGAAATGCTGAAGAGGAAGAAGAACCGGGGGGGAGGAAATGAAGAAAATATCACAAAGCTCAGTCACACTGAGTTCCCCTAAAATGTTGTAATGCGTAGAAACTCCTACATGGTTCCTTTTATAGCCACTTCTTCTTAGACCATCCTCAGTGTCCTCTAGTTCCAGAGCCAGGTGCTGGTCAGTAACATCATATATAATTTACATACAAGCTACGCTAAAAGAACTTTATTAAGGGTGCAAAGTCAAGCACTCAAAAATTTTCTTGGCCAGCTAGTCCCACTTTTCCTCTCTTACGCTGTGCCCCTTCCAGTCCCCAGGCCTCCTCCAGTCTCAGACCTCCCCCTCCCCCCCGATTCTCACCCCAATCTATGTCTGTCCTTTGCCCCCCACTTTCCCAGATCCAGCTCTTGTTCCCTATGCATTCGTGTCAGGCACGCCTCCTCCATGCTGCAGGACAGACAGGCTCCTTGCTTGCAGTTTAAGTGCCCGGCCTGGCTCACAAAAGCCCAGAACGGCAATTGCTGAGAAAGTCCTGTTCAGTCCCGGGCTAGAACATGCTCAGTTCGTGCAGAAACTTCAGGGAATTAAGCTGCTAAAATCTAAGAAGTCTGTACTGAGCATGTGTGAACTGGGATTTTTCAAAGGCTTATAACTGGGCCAAATTTGGGCAGATTTTCACATGGCCAGCAAAAGGCAATCCCTGACACACAGGCCATCCCTCTGCCAAATTGCAAGACCCTGTGCCAAAGTATCAAGGAGAAAAGGTCACCAGAATTTTTTAACGTGGGCAAAACAATGTATTTGTCCTTAGCCTTGTTCTTGGATATGGCCGCACTGGTTTGATTGAGATTTTCCAAAAATATTCAGCCTGAAGCAGATACCTTGCATAGAAAATTTCTGTCCAAATGGTTAAAGTTTGGCAAATGGATATGCAACTGAAAACAGGGTCTTATAATGGGAGGCGTTGGGCAACCTTGGTAGTAGGCGGCCCTACCAGCCCCGCCTATCACATAGAACTTCCAAATTCATAACTTAGTGGGAGAGTCAATGTGTCATGTGGGAGACAATGCCATCTAGTGGTTCATGCACAGGCTTGTCAAGTCTGGACTCCTGGGTTCCATTACTGGCACCTGCTCTGTGGATTTGGGCAAGGCCCATCCCTCTCACTTTTCCCATCTGTGAAATGGAGATAGAAAGATGGAGGGACAGTGCCTTGAAGCCCCTGGGTTCTGTTCCTGACTCTGATAGCCCTGAGGATCCATTCCCCTTTTCTCCTCCAAGACTCAGCAATAAACCGATTCTTTCTTTTTTTCCAAGCTGAACGGAGAGGAACCACAGGGAGTTCTCTGCTGAACTGAGTGGTGTTATTGTGGACTCCAACCAAGACAGAGGGTTTCCGTACAATCCTAGAGGAGTGACAGTGCTTTTGCTCTGAACTACTTGTAAACTCAATAGATTAGACAGACATAGGGTATGTCTACACTGGAGCTGGAGTTCTATTCCCCACTTGGGTAGACGTATGTGAGCCATCTTTGATCGGGCTAAGACCATAAAAGGAGAAGTTTACCTGTGGTGGGATGGGCTAGCTATCCAAGTCAGTGCCTAGGGTTCCCGGGCAGGACTGT